TCTCAGCCATTTTAATGTGTTTGGATGCCATTTCTTTCTTTCGAACCAAGATTTCAAGGAGGTAGGTTGTGTCTTTATTCTGCTTGAAGCTTTATTTTTTTTTAGACTGAAATACTAAGCTTGATAAATTATAGTGGAATTCTGTGGTTATTGATATAGTAATTTATGATTTTTTGATTATTCAACTGTATATATAAAACCTAAAAAAATTTTTTGGGGTTCATATCCTCCACGTACAAAATTTTAATAGGCTTAGCAACCAATGTCAAGCAGCAACTGAGTACAAAGGTCGTAACTAGAAGAGATAGTTGTTTGCTTTACTTCTTTATTTACTTTATTTTGAGTAAATTTAAGAAAAATAAGTTTAAGAACTTATTTCTAAATAGCAATAATCTATATACATATGTATAATAATTGAAATGTGACTGTATTTTACCAACTGCTATTCTACTAAACACAGCCAAGACAGGTCACTTTGTAAAGATTAAAGGTTTTATATTATTGGATATAGTAACATGAGTGCACATGTGCCGTGTCATTGTAACTTCTGTATTGTTAGCCAGGCATGGCTAAAAGGTCAGTATGATAAAAATAATAAATGTATGTAAATATATAATGTTAAGAGATTTAAACTATTTTGTCTAAACATTTATATTTTCATGTTATAATTTTTAGTTATTCTAGAATGAAAAAGGCATAACTTATATTTATTTCCGAGATCGGTCAAAACTACCAAACCCATACAGAGATTTGCTACTGAAAATAACAGATATAATATAAAGTTTTTTTCTTAAGAAATGTTTGATAACTATCTGAACATTATTATGATTTCGCTTGTGAAATTTGAAAATTGTCTGATGCATAACAGTATTTTTAATCTTAAAATTAAAATTACTTTACATATTAGATAGGCAGCGTGTGAAAAGAAAAAAAAAAGGTATGAGAAAAACATTGCTTTACAAACCTTAAGACTTAATAAAACATTTGATATTTTGTGTATGAAAGCATTGTAAAGTTTACTGATACTCTAATAATGGCTGGAGACGGCTTAAATGGGTAATGAAGAAAAACTTTAATATAAGTTTAACATGACAGCAAATGTACAACGTTTCGACAAGGTTTTGTCATCATCACCTGACAAAACCTTGTCGAAACGTTG